CTTGAACATCACATAGAAGAATACTAAGTGCACTTGCTTACACCTTCTGATGGTGTACCTATAAGTTTCCAATGCATGCCTATATTGAATTCTGATAAACTACCAAGTAAGAATGCCTAGAATATGTCTGCATCGATGGTACTTTCCAGCAGGCAGGACTAAATACTTTTATTAGTGATTGTTACGGGTTCACAATGGACATACAGCTACTGAATTTAGAGATTATCATGCATTGGTAGGGAGTTTATTATTCAGTGCTCAAAAAAATAGGACTTTTGTACTCACTGTAAAATCCTTTACTCTACATTCATTGGAGGACACAGCTCTGCTTCGGATACCCACCAGCCGGTGATTGTCTGAAGCAGAGCTGTGTCTTCCAATGAACGAAATTGTGTATTTCTTTCCTGGGACATCAATGTTCTAACTAATCAAAAACATCCATATGAGGGTCAGTCCATCTGGACACCCCAAGCTGGTACTGTAGCTCAGCAAGTTTTAGTTGAGGGTCAAACACAAGTTTTAAAGGTCAAGTCCTGAGTAATAAGTATTGGTGGGTTAGCTTTCACCTCAGCTAATCTAAGCCAGCATACTGAGCAATCTGAGAAAACAGACATTTAAAGCAGAACTAAACCCTCCGATCCTTTTCAAGCTGCCAATAGCCTCTGTTTAATCTGCAACTGCCATGATGCTGCACATGTGATCATTTATGACTCCAGCCATTTGATGGTTTGACAGTATGGTTGAGAGCACAAGCAAATGTGACAGCAGTCCCAGCATGCTGGGAATTTAACTGTTTTCTGAAGCCGGTAAATCAATGGGTTTAGTTCCGCTTTAAGACTGGAAGGGGTTTCCTTTCTTTTACAGAAAGTAGAAACTGCCTTGGGGGTCATGCACACAGGAACATTCCTCTCTATGGTGTAAATAAACTGGCATACTTTGGTGTTCAGGAGCCTCTAGTGCTGCGTGAACTGGTAGATGTGCACAGATGCAAGTCCCTGAATGCAGACAATCAGCAGTCAGACACTTACATCTGTGCGAATGTGCCACTATATGCAAGCAGTGGTGTGTACCCGCGTATAGCCACCTTCAACCATTCAAGTCTACAGGTGGTTGTACGCAGAACCTGGGGCTCCCGACCACCAAATTATGCCAGTTTATTTACACTGTAAGGAGCAATGTGCCCGTGTGAATGAGTTCTTCTGTAAGTTTCCAGTGCTATAAGTAGGCACAAAAGAAAAAAAAAAAAAACAAGCAATACAGTATAAATTTCACTAATAAGTTACAAAATGCCCATTTCAGTGGTTATCTTATCAGTGTACAGGAAATCAAATAAAGTATAAAGCAGGGGTGCCTGAAATTTGTCACCTAAAGGATAACTGAATGAAAGCAACTCATTTTGCTACATTATCATGTGAAGTGTGTGTACAGCATTAGGTTCCATGCATATCCCATGAAGCCTAAATTCCAATTTAGAAATGAAGGGCCAGCAGCATCTTCAGCCCTAAACTTGCCATACACAAATGAAGGAAAATCAACAGAGAAAAAATCAACAGAATCCTTCATCCATAGTAAACAGCATGGATGGAGGAATATGCAATACCCAAACCGTGGCTGCATCTGATTGAATGCAGCCATGGCTCAGCCAATACATTTCTACCAAGCTACTTTTATTACTCTATCAAGTTTTGTCTAGCCATGTGGTGCTGACAGGGAGACCCGCGGCTTAAAGTTTGGCCAATTTAGCAAAAATTGTCCAAATCAGATTCATGTATGACCAGTTTTAGCAACCAGAAAGTGGATCTGGGCTCCTTACCACTGTCAGATCTCAGAATGATGCCAGGAGGTGAGGTCAGTGCTGAGTAATTTTCTCTCACTGTATGCTGGAGGAAGATAGGTGTAAGGAAGCCACTTCCATCTTTACTAAAAAAAAAAAAAAAAAAAAGGACCCCACAAGCCAGACAGTACTAAACTGACATTTATATGTTTTATGAGGCATGTGCTGAGCAACTGCCCTAATCCTGTACATCTGTTATATGTGAAGACAGTATATTTTCTGTGAAACTGCAGTTATCATTTAGATGAGATGACAAAAGCAGGAACAATGACAACATCCAACCTGCAGTGTACGATTAGACTACAAACCAGCAACAGTCATGTTTCAGGCCCTGGGGGAAAGAGGACTTGGATACAGAGTCTAGACATGTTTTAGGACAGGAGTGTGATAACAAATAAATAGCAGATAAGATAAACATTGTCACAAATCTCCTGCTAAAGCAGCCATACGCTGGAAGTGGAGATTCAAATGACCTGGATTGCACTGGATCAGCTGAAATGTGGCCATTTTATGGACTGTTACCTTACAAAAAAACCATTATATTCATCACTCTGTATAGAACATATTGAAGCAAAGTGATGTTTGTTTAGAGGCTAAAGCTTCATTGATTGCTCCCTTACAGGCAAAAATTAACTGCAAGTCCAAGGACTGAGCTTTAAAACTGGCAAATAACAAAAGGTCAGTGTTGTGTCTGTCAGAGGGCTGATTCTCCGACTCTCTGTCTTTGAGTGTAGTCAGCGAGATTCCTGTACTGTTCCCTGCTGCAGTCATGTAAAGCCATCAGCTGCAGCAGGAAGTGTGAGACTCCATGTAAGGAGGTGGGTAGACGTAGGAACCATGCAGAAATACTTCTCTATTGACATCCCAATCTACTAAGTCTGTGAATGACTAAAAGCACCATCATCCACTCATTTAACAACCTGTTTGGAGAACTGGTAAGATTTCGCCAGCACCTAAAAACCTGATAAAAAGAATTATCATTGCCTGAATATATAGATGTTATTATTACCATTATGACTTTATTCATGTAATAAAAAGGATACTACAGCTAGAAAGAACTTTTTTTTTTTTTTTTAAATAATGAACACAAAATGACTTCCTATAAATACCCTGATTGCTATTAATAGAAATGAAAGGTTAGGTTTCCCCTAATACTGGAACATTTATTTATTATTTGTTTATTTCAGGTACTATATAGCGCCGTCGGTTTACGCAGCGTTTTACATATATATTGTACATTCACATCAGTCCCTAACCCTCAAGGGGTGTACAATCTAAGGTCCCTAACTCACATTCATACATACACACATTAGGGACAATTTAGACAGGATCCAATTAACCTACCAGCATGTCTTTGGAGTGTGGGAGGAAACCGAAGCACCCGGAGGAAACCCACACAGGCACAGGGAGAACATGTTAATATTATTGAAACAAGGCAAGAACCTGAATAAAATCGGTTTCGAAATTATAATAAATATGGCTCTCTTTTTATGAATAGCCCTTTACAAGGCGAGAAGATTGAAGTACTCAACACCAGTAGTCCAGGGCTGACATTGACAACCATTGCCAGCTCTCAGCCAACCACCTTGTTGATCTATAATGAGCAAGGATTCGTGCCAAACGCATCGAATGTCATAGAGCTGCTTTTTGTGTCAGCTGACAGACATGGTGGTATCCTGTGTTTTCTTCTGGAACCTCCATTCTTCATAGTCACAAAAAGGTCAGCTGACAGCCTATGGCAGCAGTCGAAGTCTGCCCAGGACTGTTGCTGTGAATACAGATCTCATGATACCCTCATGAGAAAGGTCTTGCACAAATGTCAGACAGAAACGTTCAGTATTGTATCTGACAATTGTTTTCAGCAGCACCTGTAAGTGTGAGCTCTGTGGCCCAGCCACATCAGACACTATTCCTTCCCTTGTTGAGTAGGTGGTGCTGTCTGTCATCTGTCTTAAAAACTCTGCCTGTTAGCTGATATTTTTGATACTCAGGTTTACTATCACTTTAAAGCATTGATGACCCAAAAGTATACCGGGAATTATACAATAACGTTTGCCATATTTTATGTGCAAGCAAGTAGATCTAAACCTTAACTGAATGACATTTATAGTACTATATCCCTATTAATAATGAAAAATTGTGTTTTATTTTAGAAAATACTGATTTTTTTTTTTTTTTTATCATTATTGCATCTCATAGCTGCTGATCTTCTTCAGTCTTTTTCAGACACCTCCTGTTCACATGCATGAGCCCTAACACTGGCTGCACAATGAAAGGCCATGCCTGTGCAACAAATGTCAGCACAACCGTTTTAGTCCACTCTAGAAACACATGTGACAGGTTAAAAAGAGCATTTGAGAGATAGCAGAGCATTGTTACCCTATAACAGGAAGTGTCTGAACAAGAAACGTCATGGCAGGATTACCAGGTATTCCAATGGAAGCTGAAGATGTAAAAAGATTAAAACCAACTTCTTAAATGACATCAACATGGTAAAGCTTATATGAAATTTGAGTTATTGGGATTAGAGCTACCTTTGCTTAGACTCAGCCTGTCATCAGCTTTGGGCTGGCCTATACATTATAAAATCTTCTTATACAATTTTCCTTTAAAATTACCAAACCCATATAATATGAAGTGAAACCTAAACACTTTCAATTTGTATGCAATCAGCCAGGCCCTTGCACTACATAGATGAAGGTAAATCTAAAGGAAACTGAACTAAAAAAATTGTATAATGTATGGCCAGCTTAAGGCGGATTCAGCAAGATTAAATGTAAACAAAATTTAACCTATAATAATAAGTACGACATGGTTGGTTTGTCAACAAGAACAATGACAAACAGAAGCATGTCAGATCTGTCACAGTAGCAGAGCAAAGATGCATACACACAAGAAAAATGTGCAGTGATGAATTTCTACAGTTATTACATAGCACTTATTTACTAAATAAATTATGCACTTTACCCTGAATTAGGAGGAAAAAAAAAAAAGGAACAACAAGTACCTTGCATACTGGGCATACAAAATGATCATCAAAAAATACCTGTTCCTTAAAAAGCTACAAAAGTAAATGTAATAAAAAGCAGTCTATGTGCCATCCTGCTGCGTTGGCTCCGTGGAACCGTTTTGGAGAGTACCGCCCACAGAAAGGTAGTTCTGGCTATTAGTGCCCAGGTGAACCGTTTATCTGTTTGGCACTGGAAGGCATTTCCGTGAGATATAGGCAGTCTAGGAAGGCTTTGGAAATCTCCGTCACCATAGACCTGTCAGGTATTGTTTGTGCCATTCCATATATGGCACCCTATAAACAAAACACAAGCAAACATGAATGTAATCTCAAGGACAAATAAATATTCCTACTTATACTTTACAAACTAAACCTCTTAAACCCAAAATGGCTTACTTTGGAAAAACTAGCACTCAACTATGTAATACAGCACCTGTACAGTAATTACCTTGAGATCATTGCTAAAGAATGTGTTCAGTTATGTGGGATTGTACATTCTAATTGTACTTAAAAAAAATAAATAAATAAAATATGCAGATGTCATTTTGGAAGAGACAACATACTGCCAAGAAAAGGGAATGTAGGCTCAGATTTTGATAGAGCCCCTTAAGCCATGCTTGTCCATTCTCTAAAAGTCCAACTGCAGGATACCTTAAAATTCTCCCTTGCAATGAGGCTGTCTGCATTTCAAGGATTAACTGCTTGTTTAGGTCTTTGGGGCATTGGAAAAGAAGGTTTCACTTACCTGAACCTCTGCCCTGCTAGACTGATTCCCACAGTGTCTTCTCCCCTATGCTCCAGCAGACTAAAGTCTTGACATCATCAAGACTTATACAGGTTCCACAGCCCTGCACTGGGCATGAACATGCCTAGGGACTGTCCACCAACAGAACATATGGGAGCATCATCTGCTGGAGCAGCAGAGGAGTGGGTAAGTAAAGCTGCTTACACAGATGTCTATGCAAATCGCACAAAAAGTAGTGCATGTACTGCTTTAGAAAATCGGTACGGCTCCGACCGAGTTGGAACCACACTGATTTGACCGATGTAATTGTGGACAATAGGGTGAGACTTGGCATAGGATTTGCAAGTTGCATGGCATGCAAATCGCAGCCAGTGTGACTGGGGTGTAAACTTCCCACAAAACTTACAATTAAGTTCTGTATAGACTAGCACAGGGCTTGAAAAAGCAGCTCACCCACTCACCAAATGAGAGGAGAATTTCCTCTGTGGCGAGCACAGATGAAGCATGGAGCAACTGCACATGCCTCATTGTGAAGCCGAGTTCTGGTTTACAACTTCCGGTTTACCCAGCATTGCAATTACAGTGGCAGTGCCGCTGAGGGGACACGTGCAGAAGAGGTCCGCTCTCCTATGCTGAGAGGAGACACCCTCTCCACCGCCACGGGGGACTCGAGGCCCGCTCTCCACCGCCTTGGGGGACACGAGGCCCGCTCTCCACCGCCTTGGGGGACACGAGGCCAGCTCTCCACCGCCTTGGGGGACACGAGTAAGGTATGTGCCTGGCTAGTAGGTCTGGACTTGAAATTTTAAGTCCCTGGACTAGCGTACAAAACCATAATTACAAATGCAAAGTCCACATTTCTTTTCCTCTGCCCACCCACTGAAAGAAGAGTGCATTTTTGTGATGTCAAATAATAAAACAGCCATTGAATATAGTTTATCTTCAACGACAAGCAGAAAAACACTACATATTTGTATAAAGGAAGAGATTTACTAAAACTAGAGCACTCTGAATCTGCTGCATCTGTGCCAATCAGGTTCTAACTTAAGCTTGTTCAATCAAGCTTTGGCAATAAAATCTGGAAGCCGATTGGTTTATATCCAGAGTTGCACCACATTTTGCACTTTCCAGTTTTAGTAAATAACCCCAATGCTTCTAATGCGATATTAATAAGAGAAGTCTAAAATAATTAACAGAATAATAGTTACCACTCCAGTGGTTTTGGCTCCAGGGTCTTTCATTATCACGGCAACAGACTCCTGAATGTCTTTCACAAAAAGCTGTGCAACTCCAGGCTTTGTATGAAGCAGTGTGAGACATATATGAATGCTGTCATAAAAAAAAAAGCAAATGAAGACTATCACAGTGGTTCCAACCACCTGAAATACTTGTTGCTGGGAATTCTTCAATTCTGGTACCTGTATAACCAACCAGTTCAAGCACATGGCTAGAGTGAAGAACGTTTGGTTTCTGTAGGCCCCTTACTGCTTTTTGTAGTAAAATGATCTTTTTAAAAAGAACTAGTCTGAATATAGGCCTATGGGTTTGAATATCAAAATATGCTTTAACCCATTAATTACTTCAATACTGGGCATGTTTACCCCCTTCCCGCCCAGGCCAATTTTCAGCTTTCACCACTTTGAATGACAATTGTGCGGTTCTGCAAGACTGTACCCAAGCTAAATTTGTATTTTTTGCTGAATAAAGGAAAATAGACTAACAATTTTGAAAAAAAAAAGGTTACAGTTTCTCTTAGTTTCTAAAATTTAGCAAATAAATAAATTGCTCTTCATAAATTTAGGCCATTTCTTTGGTGAAAATAAACCAAATCAATGTATATTATTTAGTCTAGAGGAAAGTTCTAGAGTCCACAAACTATTGTATATGTCTGTATATGTCTGAAAATTGATCAATCCTGATGCATTGATGGTCTATCTCATTTCTTGAGGTCCAAAAATGTCAGAATAGTAAAGATACCCCCAAATTACCCCTTTTTGGAAAGTAGACAGTCCAAGGTATTTAGTAAGAGGCATGGCGAGGTTTTTTAAGTTTTTTTGCCATAATTTTGTGAAAATTAAGAAATTGTTTTTTTTTTTCACAATTATTTAAATATTTTTAACATACTGTCACCAGTGAAGTACAGCGCCGTCATAACTGGCGTGACCAGGGACACTGATAGGTGACGGTACAAAAAGTAACTGCTTGCCCTCCACCCCCCCTTCCTGTCTGGCGCTGCGGTACTTTAACTGACAATTGCCCAGTCATGCAACACTGTACATACATTAAATTTGTCATTTTTTTCCCACAAATAGAGCTTTCTTTCGCTGGTGTTTGATCACCTTTGCAGTTCTTATTTTTTGCGCTTAACAAAAAAAGAAAAAAAAAATACATTTTGGGGAAAAACACCCAATATTTTTTACTTTTTTGCTATGAAACATCCAATAAGAGAAAAAAAAAATAAAATGTCTTCATAAATTTAGGCCAAAATTTATTCTACTATAGGGCTTTACTAAAAAAAATCCCAATAAGTGTATAGTAATTGTTTCACAGTTATAGTGTCTACAAATGGACTGACACTGTACTAATGACACTGGGCAGGAAGGGGTTAACCAAAGGGTTACCTGTGTGCTGTTTTACTTGGGAGACAAGCTTCTACTGCAGATTTTTTTATATTACAGTCCTGAGTAGCTATAACACGCTGAAGGGAAGAGTGGAGTGCTACATTTTTAATTCTTCCACATGTATGGCTGTTAAGCTGGGTGTTAACTAGCAGAATTTTAGTCAAGATTTTTCGTTTGTTCAGTATCTAACTATTATTGAGGTCAATCTGAATTTTTTTTAGAACCATACTCACAAGAAAATTCAAAGAGGCAGGATGGAACTTTTTTCTCAAATGAACTTCTAACATTGTATTTTATTTTTGCATAAAGTCCATTCATTCCAAAATCAAATGTTAAAAAAACAAAAATGTGTTTAAATACTTTGGAACACTATTCGTTAAGTCACTGAACATACTTAGAATTTTTGGACAAATTTTTGTTTGAAAGTCTACTAGTGTATACATAGCTTAACCACCTGCGGACTGTCTACCCACAATATACTGTGGATGGGCGGCCTGTGCAGGCAAAATGACGTTACAAGAACGTCGTTGCATGCTGACAAGTTTAGGATGTGCGCATGTGCACCCCCTGCCAACACCAATTGTGATTGTACACAGCGGGAGTCTGTCAGCGAGTCCCAGCCAATGATTCATTGCCAGGAGCTGCTGATCAGCTGTGCGCAATCACAGCCCAGAGCTCTGTGTTGACATTCAATACAGGGCTCTGTGCAGAGGGATCGATCTCACTGTTTCTCATCCCTAGAAACAAATAGATCATTTAGTAAAAGCAGCACACTTTACACATATTACACATTTAACCCTCTGATCACCCTAGATGTTAACCCCTTCTTAGTATCATTAGTACAGTGATTGGTATATTATCACTGATCACTGTATTGGTGTCACTGGAGATATCAGTGGCAGTCAGCTCCCCTCAGCGTCAGTTTGTGTCAGACTGCCAGCTGCACAGTCGCCATTATTAGTATAAAATAAATAACAATTCAAGTATACACACACACACACACACACACACACACACACAATAATAGCAAACCAATTAATATACACATATTGGGATTTTTTTTTTTTTTTTTTTCATCAAAGACATGTAGCAGAATACATTTTGACCAAAATTTATAAAGAAATTAGATTTTTAAAATTTGTTATTGGATAGGTTTTATAGCAGAAAGCAAAAAATACTGTAATTTTTTTTCAAAATTTTTGGTCTTTTTTCATTTATATCGCAAAACATTAAAAAAACCGAGTGGTTATCAAATACCACCAAAGGAAAGCTCTATTTGTCTGAAAAAAGTGATATCAATTTCAACTGGTTGCAGCGTTGCATGACCGCACAATTACCAGTTAAAATAGCACAGTGCCATATAGCAAAAAATTGCCTGGTTATGAATCTTCTGGAGCTTAAGTGGTTAAGAAGCATGGTGACCTTATCTGCAGAAGGGTTTTTGTTGCATTACACTGAAGTTATGACAAAGCTGTATAGTTCATTTCAGCACATGAAGGCAAGGAATCTAATAGATTTCTTTTTAATTGATGCTAATATTCCTCAGTATTTTAAATAGTGGAATTCAGGACTCAGCACGGGAAAACAGGAAGCCAAATGACGTAGTTAAGATAGAAGTATATGTGTTTAAAATTGGAGTGCATCACATATAACCAGATTTTAAAAACATACTGACCTAGATGGAAACTGAAGAGTATTCAAGTTCCAGCCCTTAGCTGTCAAAGAGTTGGATAAGCGATAAATGTCAAATTCATCTGAACCCAGTGCGATAACAGACACCTCTGGATTCCCAAAAATAAAGATTTCCTTGATCTTTTGCAACCTTCAAAGATATAAACAAATCAGATGACAACATTAGGTTAAATACTAACACCTATCATTGAAGATAACCAAACAAAGAACACTTATGACCCACTACTAGCTGAGAGAAGTAAATAAGACAACAAAACACATAAGTAGCCAAGAACTGCAAGACTATTTGCAAATCAATCACACACAGTTCTGTTACAAAAAGTGGATCTATGCAGCATTGTATTGGCAAAACTTTTAAAGAATAAAAAAATAAATACTCCGCCAAATGAAAAAACAGGTTATCAGATTTAAATAAGGAGCAGATGTAATCACAGAATTCTATAAAACCAGTAAATCCTTTACTTACGGAAAAAAAAAAAAAAAATAGATGACAGGCTTATAAAAAGGAGAGTGATGAGCATTCCTGCATTTCATGAATGACACAAAGAATGTATGCACATGTAACACTGCATTGTCCATCAGACAACAGATGGCGCTATTCACTTCCCATTGTAAATAACACCCTTCTTTATTTCTGCTCACAAAGATGACAGTACTCTTGTCTTTTCCTTTCTCTCCAGAAGGGGGCAGCTAAATATTTCCAGGTATCATCCAGTATCAGCATCTACTTCCAGGCCTGCAGAATGTTTTAATAGATTTAACCTATAAAAACAGGCTTTTTTTTTTATAGTGCATGCATAGCCACTTTTTTTTCTTGTTTAGATCTTTTGTTTTAGATAGAATAGAGAAGTACTAGGGCCACTATCATGTTTTTTTTTCTCCTTGGGAAAATTCTCTCATTCTAATTGTTCTGGTTACCATTTTGAGAAATGGATGGGAATTTCAATATGTTACAGTTGTCACCAGAACAGGTGAGAGGAATTCTCCAAAAATGGTGACACCTGTTCTAGTTCTAGTCTTAGAGGGGATTTTCTTTCTCTTCTTGTTGAGTCTCTGAGACAGGAAATATACAGATATAGTTGAACTGTCTACTATATCTGAGTCTAGAAAATGTTTTGCTATATACCGTATTTTTCACTCCATAAGACGCACATTTTTCCCCCAAAAAGGGGGGGAAATGTCAGTGCGTCTTATGGAGCGAATATGGAGCGGCCGGTCCAGTTTTCCCGCTGTCGCTGCCGTATCAGAATACCGGGCTGGCCACTCGGCTCTTCTCTTCAGCAGAACCTTACCTGTTCTTCAGGCCAGCGCTGTACAGTGTTCCGGCGCCTGCATCTTTAGTGTGGGCACCCGGCTGTGACAGCCGGGTGCCCACTGAGCATGCGCGAGAAGCGCTGCGCTTTGTGAATATTCCGGCATCTTCTGGGACACGACAGGTCCCAGAAGACACCGGACCATACACAAAGAGCAGCGCTTCTCGCACATGCACGGTGGGCACCTGGCTGTCACAGCCGGGTGCCCACACTAAAGGGAGGCAACTCCAGGGAAGTGGGAATGGGTACCTGTCAAATTCAGGTACCCGCTCCCCCTCGCTCCCCAAAGGTCCACAGTCTCTGGGTCATCCCCTGTACTGTGTCCGCAGTCTCTGGGTCATCCCCTGTACTGTGTCCGCAGTCTCTGGGTCATCCCCTGTACTGTGTCCGCAGTCTCTGGGTCATCCCCTGTACTGTGTCCGCAGTCTCTGGGTCATCCCCTGTACTGTGTCCGCAGTCTCTGGGTCATCCCCTGTACTGTGTCCGCAGTCTCTGGGTCATCCCCTGTACTGTGTCCGCAGTCTCTGGGTCATCCCCTGTACTGTGTCCGCAGTCTCTGGGTCATCCCCTGTACTGTGTCCGCAGTCTCTGGGTCATCCCCTGTACTGTGTCCGCAGTCTCTGGGTCATCCCCTGTACTGTGTCCGCAGTCTCTGGTCATCCCTGTACTGTGTCCGCAGTCTCTGGTGTCCGCTGTAGTCCGCAGTCTCTGGGTCATCCCCTGTACTGTGTCCGCAGTCTCTGGGTCATCCCCTGTACTGTGTCCGCAGTCTCTGGGTCATCCCCTGTACTGTGTCGGAGTCTCTGGGTCATCCCCTGTACTGTGTCCGCAGTCTCTGGGTCATCCCCTGTACTGTGTCCGCAGTCTCTGGGTCATCCCCTGTACTGTGTCCGCAGTCTCTGGTCATCCTCCTGTACTGTGTCCGCAGTCTCTGGTCATCTCCTGTACTGTGTCCGCAGTCTCTGGTCATCTCCTGTACTGTGTCCGCAGTCTCTGGTCATCTCCTGTACTGTGTCCGCAGTCTCTGGTCATCTCCTGTACTGTGTCCGCAGTCTCTGGTCATCTCCTTACTGTGTCCGCAGTCTCTGGTAATTTTCTGTACTATGTCTGCAGTCCATTGGTTCAGAATATTTTTTTTCTTGTTTTCTTCCTCTAAAACCTATGTGCGCCTTATGGTCAGGTGCGTCTTATGGAGCGAAAAAAATACGGTGCACACTTTGACAATACAGTATCATTTTCTTGTGTGCATTGTAGCTTATCATAATAGGCCTTAGCCATCTGTCTATACTGTAAAGAAGAGACATTGAAAGTGGCTTCATACAAAGATGAAGATGTGCAAGATGCAAGATTAAGTGAATGAACACAAGCAATAATTTCTAGATAAAAACCTACTCTTTTATGATGAACCGTGCAGCAGTAATGATATTTTTAGTGGCTTCAACATATCCATCTTCTCCAATATGCATCATTGTAGCCCAGCAAGCAGCTACTATACCACCAGGCCGAGAGCCAGCAATAGAGGGAGAGGCATAGAGGCCACCTGGCCAGTCTGATGTTACAAAGTATTGGTACTGTCTGTAGTCCTTGCTGCTGTACAGTATTACAGAGGAGCCTTTTGGTGCATAGCCATACTGGAATTAAAAACAGAAAGTTTACCACTTAAATGGCTTCTATACATGATTTTTGACCTCCAGAAAGTACATTTCTTCTTCCTTACATCTACTTTGTTGTTAAATTAACAGTAAAGTCATTGCATGCTGAAAAATATAGTGATATGGCAACATTCCTTAGATACTCGTCAACATATTTCAGTAAAACTGCCTCCAAATACCTTACTTTTATATTCAAAGTCACGTGATTGCTCCAGTCTATTTTACCAAACCAGCCATGTGGGATGGGGAGAGGGACAGAAAAGCACACTTGGTGGCTTCTGTTGACATCATGTATTCGAAGAGCTCTGTAGTGCTGTGGCTTCCTAGAAAGCCTCTGAATGACATCAACAGGACAAGTCCTTCTCCCCAGCCTGAGTGGAGATGTCAATTAAAAGCATTGAGTTTCTCCTGCAGACATTGCTGCCTGTGACGTGGGCAGCTGGATAGATTAAAGTGGCTCTAATAGCTAGACATTTTTTTACCTTAATGCATTCCCTGCATTAAGGTAAAAATGTCCCAGTAGTTGTATTGCCCCCCCAACTCCGCTTATACTTACCTGAGGACCTGTCTCAATACAGCACTGTGCCCATCTGGAGCGGCACTGGTCTCTCCCTCTGTCTCTTCATAGGCTCAGAGACAGCATCAGGAGCTATTGCCTCCTGCTGCTGTCAATAAATCCTGTGAAATTGGAGGGCTAAACCGTGTGCACTGTGTGTGTCAATGGACGCACGCAGGCTGGCTCGAGAGTGAGCTCGCAGGTGTTCCACCATAGGAAGCGGCTTCCTATGTCAGCACGCAGAGAAGTGCAGGCAGGGAACCCCAGAAGAGAAGGTTCCAGTTTGAGCTGTGCAAAACATTTTAGATAGAGTAAGGGAGGGTTATAACATCCGTCAGTTTTTTTTTCTACTTGTGCCCCATTGGGGGAGATTTCCCTTCACTTCCTGTCCCATAGCCAAAATAGGAAGTGAGAGGAAATCTCTCCAAAGTGAAAGAAAGCTGTGTGTGTCACCAGAATTTGTGTAACCATTAGAAGATTTCCACTCTTAGTGTTCTGCAGTCAACCCAAAATTTGGGATTTTTTCTTTACTTTAGTTTTCAATGATGACAAAACAGGACAAACAGTGGGTGAATCTTCCTAACGAGAGCACAGACAGCAATGACAACTTACTGGCGTTCTAATCTCGCTTCACCTTCATATAGTACAGAAAATACCAGTTAATCTTGCAGAACTGCACTGCCTGTGTCACTACCTGTGGGCTGAACAGAAAGCACAAACTTTTCTTTTAGTGAACCACTAATCCCATCGCTACCCACCCCAATCCCCCCATGTAATGAAGATGAACAACGGCAAATATGACTGAAGTCCAGCCTGGGTGGCAACCAGGCTGTCTTCATACATACACTGGGAATAGTAAATGTAGCCACCCAGGGACAGAAATAAGTTATTTGCAGAAAAACCATGTGAAAATAAAACGGGAAAAAGCCTGAGAAAAAACAAACTAGGCATACTGCAACAGATTACATTTTTGTTTTGAGGTTTAGATACGCTAACATTTTTGTGTTGTGGCAGATAGAATTATATATAATTTTAAAAGTAACTGTAAACTGTAGAGACCAGTCTGCATTGTACAATCAGCATATAAACAAACACAGATATGACTATATATTTATATATTTTAGCACAACAACCCATTCCATGGTTTACCTTGTGGGTATCCGCTGAGATGCTAGTCACTCCTTTTACTCTGAAGTCAAATGGTGGGATGGGGAAGCCAGCTTTCTCCATAAACACAATGAGGAAACCACCCAAGCAAGCGTCCACATGAAACGGGATATTGTATTTTAAAGCCAGCTATTAAGAGAAAAGGCATTTGTCAAATGAAAACATTGCATTTTTGTAATGAAATGATTGTAATATACTTATTACCTATTGCAGAAGACATTTTACAGTGAGGGATGATGTAGCAAGTCTTGAATGTGCTGCAGTTTATTACCCAACTCGAACCAGAAATTTCAGTAAATAGAATTTCTGGCTCAGTGCCCTATTACAAGCCTTGCTTACCTTGGCTACTTCTTCTATTGGGTCAATAACACCATGCGGGAACTGTGGGGCTGAACAAACTAACATGGCTGTGTTCTTCGAAATTGCTCTTCTCATAGCCTGTTAAAATACAGAGAACATAAGCACACTTGATGCCTTGCAAAACTTAAAAAACAAAAAGCTTTTATGAAATTCCAGTTTCTTTTCTCCCCCCCAATAAAAATGGAACTTTAGAAATGAGAGTATTAAAAAAAATAAATTGCGGCATGGATGCAACAATAGCTCACAATGCGTAGGACAAGAGCTGTCCACAAGGCTGGCAAACACAAGGAAAAGGAGCAGGTTACTAATATATGAAAATGTAAAGGAAATGTATACTTTCATTTTTTAGATAAAAATGTCACACAGATTGATGTACACAATCTTAGGAATGTTTGCCAATGTTCTAAAAACCTTGAGATATTATATACTGGCTTCCGATTGCGCAACGGATCAAATTCAAAATCCTAACGCTGACGTACAAAGCTGTCCACCATACTGCCCCGAACTACATCACTGACCTAATATCCAAGTACCGCCCAACACGCACACTCCGCTCCTCACAGGACCTCCTTCTCTCTAGTTCCCTGGTCTCCTCCTCCCATGCCCGCCTCCAGGACTTCTCCAGGGTGTCACCCGTCCTCTGGAACTCCCTGCCCCAACCCATCAGATTATCACCTACTCTCCTCTCCTTTAGGCGCACCCTGAAAACCCATCTCTTCAGGGAAGCCTACCCCACCCCCTGCTAACTTGCCTCCCTCCTCCACTCTTCCTACCACTCCATCCCCCACAGCTATCTCCTCCTGTGCCACCACCCCCCCTCCTAGATTGTAAGCTCGAAAGAGCAGGGCCCTTGATCCCCTCATGTTTTGCATTGTATTGGTATTGTTCTGTCACATGTTCTGTCTCCCTTTGTAATGTACAGCGCTGAGCGGACTATTGGCGCTTTTTATAAATACTGTATAATAATAAAATAATAATAATATATATATATATAATAGATCTACATAGGTGCAGTCATGTTTGGCTATTACATATGCAGGCTGTCCTTCCAAACTGGTGTGACTGGTTTCCCTTATGTTTACAGAGAGATGGTGTTCTTAATGTGAACAAAATAAATTGGCCTGTAGAATAAAAAAATGCATAGGAAAGAACACAGCTCCAAGGATTGCAGAACATGTAACTTTAAAAGACACAATTACCTTCACATCCACTTTCATCGTTTTTTTATCCAAGGGAATGTGCACCATCCTCATTCCAAAATAACTAGCTGCTTTGTCAAATGCTGCATGGGCACTTACAGGGGCGATGCTATAAAGAAGATAACATAAGTAATAGGTTTGGAGTATTGCATGCTGATATGTAAATATATACAAACACATACCTACTTGGGGGCTACTTTGTGTATGCATAATATGTAACAAAGCAGCCCGAGTATGTATGCAACACATGGGCTACTCTGTTACATACATGCAATCTCAGGGGCTACTTTGCTACTACAAATACATGGTGAATCATGGTGCTGTATTAATTCGCAAAATACAAAGGCTGCTGTGAATGGCTGAGCGGTGCTCAGCCCGACTTGATTTTGTTTCAGGAACAAGACCAGTAAGTCCCCATATCACTGCCGGAACAAAGCACTGTATACTGTTTGTAGCTGATGTAACATATAGTTTGTACAGTGCTGACAGCCGCTGCACTGATTAGTGAAATAGTTTGGACAAGCTTGGTCTAAAACAAACTATTAAAGTTACATCAAACTTGTAGTTAGGCTTAAGGCCTAGTTTACACCATGGTGCAAAGACATCGTTTTTTCTGTACATGTTTTGCAAGGGCACAAAAAAAATAAAATAAAAATTGCTCCCTATGTGCCCTGTCAGTTTCCATCAGTTTTTCTGCATGTATGGTGTAAACGAGGCCTTATTGTTGCTGCCAATTGTGAGTTGCAGAAACTGAAAACCTAAACACTTGTGATTTTCAAATTCGCAAATATCTAAATTGGATTGAGACTGCAGATTAACACCCCGGTCACATCAAAGCTGATTTTGAAATTGTGTGACTTACAGTGAAGTTGAACGATTTCAAAGTCGGGTGACTTGCCGATTTGAGGTCCGATTTGCACAGACATCTGACACAGATGTCTATGCAAATCGCACCAAAAAGTAGTGCATGTACTACTGTAGAAATTGGTGCGAATCCGACCAAGTCAGAACTGCACCGATATGACAGCTCTAATAGGAGACAATAGGGTGAGACTTGGCATACGATATGCAAATTGCATGCCAAGTCACACTCGATGTGACCGGGGGGTAAGGAAAGAAAGATTTCTGTGGGTGAGAGTTAGGCCTCGTTCACACCATACATGCAGAAAAACTGATGGAAAACTGGACGCACAGATTTCACTTGCAGAAAGATCAGTTTTCAGGCACGCTTCAATGAGTTTTATACACGTTGCAGATTCCTGCGCAGAAAAAAAATCTACACATGATACTAGTGTTGTGGTGTGAACAGGGCACAGAGAACCATTGATTTTGTTGTGCCCTTGCAGAATGTGTGCAGAAAAACAGATGTCTCTGCACCATGGTGTGAACGGGCCTTCTGTTGGTAAAAATATGGAGGCTGCCATTTACTTTCTGAAAATGCTAGCTGTCTGGTCATCATGCTTATCACATTTCAACACTGCCTAAGTTACTGACCCAGAACAAGCATGCAGATCAGAAATTCCAACTTCAATCTAATTACATTTGCTGCATACTTCTAAGTCAGTGATTCCAGAAGTACTGAAGTCAGAGACAGCGAGGGAACTCTTATTCAGAAGAGGGAGGTTAGCAGTTGCATCCCCAAATTTCTCTCAGTAAAGGTTTCCTTTAAGGATGTTGTTACACTGGTGTGCAGAAGAGCTTCTCTAAAAACACAGCACATTGAATATTGAAGAAGATGGACTACAGCAGCAAGAGATGAAGCTGATTTACCAATGGACTTCTGTAGGATTCTACCTGCTCAATCTTCTCTGTAGTCTGAAACGCTGATCAGTGCATTCTGAGGATGGAGAAGACTCCTCAAGGTCAGAACACAATAGCTCAGTGGGGAGGCATCCATCATCAAGTGTGTGGTTGGGGAAACTGAGTCATTTTTTTGTTTGTTCAACCCACTAAACAAACAAAACTTACTCATCTATGAGCTGTCTAAGTAACAAGAACATGGGGACAAAGCCAGAATGGAAGCAACAACAGGCACAACTCAACGTTGGAAAAACTTAGTCTAGTGTGAACAGAATTTTCTGCTGCAACATGCAGATGATAGAATCAAAATTTGATAGGACACATACACAGCACAAATTCATGGATCCATCAGATGTTGTGTCAACATTTCAGGATGCGGGTGGTGTAATACCCAGTATATTGCTTCAACATGGACCAAAATTCTAAGCAACATTTCCAGAACCTTGTCTAATCCTTGCTACACCTTTTTAGAAGGTAAAGCATTGGTAAATCTATGTGATTTTTAGCCGTTTTAGGACAGTGCACATTGTTTTTGGGGGGAAAAAAAAAAAAGACTAAAGTGTGTATCAAAAAGAATGACCCCCACCTTTAAAATAATCACATTTTGTTGCTTTGTAGCCTGAACTTAAGACAGACAGTTTTTGTCTTATACAGCTGTATGTGCAACTTATAAACATCCAAGTGAAAAGATACACACCAACATGTCATTAAAAAAAGAAAAAAGGTTTAAAAACAGAATCACCGAGTTGAAAAAAGGATCACCCCTCCTAAAAATTACTTGTAAACTCAAATAGGTGTAGCTAATCACCTTCTAAATGGCACACAAAGCCATTTGACTTTCAACTGATCTGTTGTGGTCATTTTGATTAGCTCAGCATGAAAAGAGCTTTCCTGGAGCATTTCAGTCCCTGGTAGTGTAACTGGAGCAATCAATTATGGGTGGCAAGGCACTTTCAAAGGATCGCTGGGATAAAGTTATGGACAGGCGCAAGTCAGGAGATGGACACAAAAAAATTCAAAGGCTTTATCAATGCCTAGAAGCACAGTGAATTCTGTTATTAAGTGGAAGGTATTAAGTACAACACAGACTCCCTGGATCAGGATGTTGCTCCAAACTGGATGACAGAGCCAGGAGGAAACTAGTCAGAGAGGCGACCAAGAGGACTAGAGCAGGAGGTGATCCTTTTTCAGTGATTGTTTTTATGACAGAGTGGTCATTGTGTGTAAGTGACAAGATCACAAATTCTCCACAAATGTGGCTTGTATGGGAAGGCTGCAAGAAAAAAAAAAAACACTCCTCAAGAAAAGCCACATGCAGTCATGACTGAGTTTTGCCAAAATGCACCTTGAAGATTCTGAGGCCACATGGAGAAAGGTGTTATCGTCAGATGAGACTAAATTGGAATTATTTGGCCTCAACACTAAACGGTATGTCTGGTAGAAATCCAATACAGCTCACCATCCAAATATCACCATTCCTACAGTAAAGCATGGAGGTAGTAATATCCTGTTATGGAGGTGCTAATATTCTGTTATGGGGGTTCTCTGCAGCAGGTACTGGGGCACTTGTCAAGAAAGAGGGGAAAAATGGATGGGGCAAAATACCGACTAATTCTTGAGGAAAATCTGCTTCCCTCTGCCAGAAAGTTGTCAATGGGAAGAAGGTTTACCTTCCAACAAGACAATGACCCAAAAACACACAGAAAAATTACCACACAATGGCTGAAGGAGAAAAAGACCTAGTCAGAGTCCAGACTTATACCCCATTGAAAATCTGTGGAATGACTTGAAGACTGCAGTCCATGAATGGTCATCATCAAATTTAAAGTGTTACTAAACCCAGGACCCTGCATTCAATATATCATTATACCTCCAACAGTATGCAGAAACACGGAAATGCAATTATTTTAGTAAATATAAACTACTAAATATCTTTTCTCATCAGCAGTTAGAGCAGTCTTGTGACTTCTATCAGTGTCTAGCCGATCACTGGTTAAGGCTTGTAGAACTAGTTTTCTCTAGGAAGATGCAGAACCCCTGACCTGTCTGGACAGTGCTGATCGTATGCACTCTCCCAAGAAAAGAAAAAAAAAAAACACTTCTCTAACAATACACACCAAACTGAGCATGTGCAGTGTCTCAACACGTCTTATCAGGAGATAAGAGGGGTGCACTGGAAGAAGGGGAGGATCAAACATCCTTTTTACACAATTAACCCCTTAGGTTCCACAGTGAGTTTAACAAGCATGCTTTATTGCATATAAAGACGGATTTTACTGTTGTGGCTTTAGTAACACTTTAACTGAACTTGAGCATTTCTGCAAAGAAGAGTGGGCAAATATTGCAAAGTCTACATGTGCAAAGTTAGTAGAGACATCCCAACAGACTAAAGGCTGGAAATAAAGCAAAAGGTGCTTCAACAAAATACAGACACAAGGGGGTGATCCTTTTTCCAACTCAGTGATTGTTTTTGATTTTTTAAATTTTAAGTAAATACGACTGGATAAAACAAAAATACGAAAAACTGTGTGTCTTCATTTCAGGGTACAAAGCAAAGAAATGTGATTTTAAAGGGGGGGGGGGGGGGGTGGAGTGATTCCTTTCTGTACCCATTGTACATATGAACAGCGCAAAACAAAAGTAGATCTTACATTTCTGGATATTTAATTCCCTTCTCAAATGCCAGATCTCTGTATGCTTTACAGGCCATTAAAATGCTTTCTGTCCCTCCAGATGTGACCTGCAAAACAGAAAAGTTAAAAGAATAAGCATAGTCTCATCTTTTCTAGCCCCACTAGACTGAGCATAGTCTCATCTTTCTGGCTCCATTGGTGTGGAGGCTGCTGAACATACTTTTCCTGCCATTTGGTATGGCGGACCTATCGTCTGCATAGACTTCGAGGAGGGCTTTCTGGCCCATGCTTTATATACAACACCACTTATGGCTGTTATGTCAGTTTACAGTCCGGAATACCCATACATAATTGAAAGTGAAAAGATTTAAGTGCAGTCTGTTACATAACTTTGGTCTTGCCTGACTGGTCTGACTAGCATACATCACCCTTTCACTGAGAAACCATCAACAAGTGGGCCTAATTCTTCATATGTCAAGCTTTTCTATATAAGAACCCATGAGAACTGACAGACAAGATACACGTCATCTACTAAATTCCAGCTCCACCTAGTATGTGTTCAAGTAGACCTACCATCTGTCAGTTTGTGCATTACACCTGGATGTTAATAGATGACACTTAGAATTAAAATATGTCAACAGTCTATTTATTAACAAAGGGCAGCTACACACCCATGTGTTTTGGTGGGAACACACCATCATGCATTAGTGTGTTGTGCTGCCATTTATTCTGAATGGTACCCAGGTGCACAAATGGAATAAAGCTTTGAAGCAAACTGCAAAGAATTTTATGCAGTTTTAAAATTCTTATGAATTTTAAAACTCTTATAAAAACGGTCATGTGCCACAAAAAAAAAAAAAAAAAAATATATACACACACACACACACACACACACACACACACAATTTTTTTTTTTAACACTTGTGGCACGTGACCCTTTTTAGATTCTGCGGTATGAAAAAGTATATATATATATATATATATATATATATATATATATATATATATATATATCTCAACGACACAGCTGTTGCAAAACGACTTACTCTTGGCCTAATGTACAAGTGAAGAAAATCATTTGCAAAATGTGTGAAAAGCCAGACTGAACATTGGGAAGAAAACAACTGGGTAAGAGTTTATGTTGATCTCACATTCATAATGTATTGCACAAGACAGTTTGTACAAAGATCTCTGCTGTACAGATGGCTCTCTACATGCTTCCTGTTTGCTGACAGATCAGTTAAATGTGTGGCCCATGACCTGGGGCTGACAGCAGTAACCACAGACAGACAAACAAAGCACTGAACTTCATCGGCTACTTTTCAAACAGATATACAGCACAACGAGGATCAGAATATACAAGATGAAAGAAATCACAACAGTATCTTTCCTGATGGCACTAGTCTATCTTCCTACTAGGTAACACCATAAAACGACCCATAGACATCAGGTGACAGTCCCCAAGTCACCTGATGTCATACAGTACATGTAAACCTTTAATAGCAATGATTTTTCTAAGGAAAAAGTGGCATTGGCAGCATGGAAGCGTCTCTCTCTCTCTCTCTGCCGTCTGTTTTGGGCAGGTGCTGGTGTGCAGTGCCTAAGGGTAATATGATCTCACATGAATATCTGATCTACTCTAGGATGTCTATGAACACATTTCAGCTTCAGCACTTACCTTAGAATGTAAAAAATGGCCAACAAGATGAGCGCCCATCTTTGAGTACCTTACTGTGCCACCAGAATCAAAAGGTAATTCTGCTGTGCCACCAGAATCAAAAAGGTAGAATCAGAAAAGGGTAATTATGCTGTGCCACCAGAATCAAAGGGTAATTCTGCTGTGCCACCAGAATCAAAAAGGTAATTCTGCTGTGCCACCAGAATCAAAAAGGTAATTCTGCTGTGCCACCAGAATCAAAGGGTAAATGCTGTGCCACCAGAATCAAAGGGTAATTCTGCTGTGCCACCAGAATCAAAGGTAATTCTGCTGTGCCACCAGAATCAAAGGGTATTTCTGCTGTGCCACCAGAATCAAAGGGTATTTCTGCTGTGCCACCAGAATCAAAAGGTAATTATGCTGTGCCACCAGAATCAAAGGTAATTATGCTGTGCCACCAGAATCAAAGGTAATTATGCTGTGCCACCAGAATCAAAAGGTAATTATGCTGTGCCACCAGAATCAAAAGGTAATTATGCTGTGCACCAGAATCAAAAGGTAATTATGCTGTGCCACACCAGAATCAAAGGTAATTATGCTGTGACAGCAAAGGTTCAACCAGTAGGTGTTAACAGCATAAGTTCAGTGAGCTACTGAGAAAGGAAATGGCTGCAGCCAACTTGTAAAGCTTCTGATGTCCGAAATCTCTATGTGCAACTATAATCACCTTCATTCTAAAGAATGGAAGAGTTTGCCATTAACCCTGCAGGAAGACCTACAGGTTCCACCCGTATTAAACATCACTGCAGGTCAGGAGGTTCTATTGTAGGAGTCCTCAAACTTTTTAAACAAAAAGGGTCAGCTGACTTAGGGGGGGGGGTCATACTGTGAGTGGTACAAGGAGTAGGCCTTACGAGGACCTTGTAGAATGTAAGGATGGATTATAAGCGCGGGGAATTGCTGTTTTCTATTTCTTCTTTTGCATGTGATTAGCACGCAGAAATGGTCACTGGTACCTACCCTAAACCTGCAGCAGTCAGTGAGCAGACTCGAGGACCCTCTGGCCTACAGCACATGTGTCAAAGCTGTGCCATAGCCCAACACTCAATAAATAAGGAGCAGGATGACTTGGGCTCACAGGAAATAGGTTGAATGATGCTGACCAACATATCTAGCTGCAGAAAATAATCCTTCAATCCCTGAACTGAAGTGGAAAATTGTAGGAAGAACTGGATTTATTATTTTATTTTTTAATGTGTAATTCATTTTATTTTTTAATTTTTTTTAATTGGCTGGACTGCAGGGATGTTGGATTCCTATCGCCCGACACTCGGGACATGTAGTTCTGGGCGCGGTGAAGGTAGTTTTGTTCCTCCATTAGCCCTGCTGCAGGCAAGCAGCGGGCTCACCTGTCATGTGATTACTTTCACACAGTGCCAGCCTCTCCGCGCCCCCTGGAGTGAGGTTTTCCAGGCTCCACTTGCCCATCTGTGGGCCTGGCTCGCCGTCGGCTAGACGGAAGGGAGAAGAGCGGACAAGTTTGTTCTTGTCCCCACCACTCCCCTTCTTGTGCTGACCCGGAAGTGACGTTACAATGTCACTTCCGGGTCCCTGATGAGAGATTGCAATACAATCCCCAGGAAAGAATGTAATATAGTGCAATGTGCACCAATTTACATTCAACAGAGCAGAGTACTCTTTTAGACCTTGGATGTCTCAAAGAGAACCTGTCACCAAAAATCATCACATAGGGGACTTTGTCCCCTATGTGATGAGAGAAAAAAAAAAAAAAAAGTGAAAAAAAAAAAAAGTGAATGTACGTACGAATGTAAAAGCACACGCTGGGGCGCCTACGCATGAAAACCGTCGACTGCGATACACGTTACATATCGCCGCACACACCAGGATGAGAGCGATAATTCTAGCACCAGACCTCCTCTGTACAATATACTGGTGACCTATAAAGAGCTTTAAAAGTGTTGACCTATAGAAAATATAGGGTACTGAAGTTCTTCGCCATTTTACGAGCACGCACAAACATATATAACGATTGGGAGTTTTATGTAATCTTCTGGCCTAAAATGATTTTTTTTAAACGTGTGCAAAAAACGCAAAAATGGCTCTGACAGCGAAAACGCAACTTGTGAAAGGGATAAAAGTATAAGCCCTGACCCCCCTTCCGTGACGAGCAGCCAATCGTTGCTCATTACACTGCAAGGTCTCTCCCCTCCCTGCTAGTCCCTGGGTGCAGTGCTGGAGACAGGCAGGGAGGGGAGGAGGAGATAAACAGCACAATGTTAAAAATACTACATGTTTAAGTCGCAATAAGCCCCTTTCGTTTTTAAAAGCCCCAGACATTCCTAAAATCACCTCCAATTTAATACGGATTTGGTTAAAATAAAAAATGTTTTTTTTTATCAGGACAAGTAGATTGGGGCCCCGATTTAGTCCCTGGAAAAGTAGTTATTTAACAAAATTTCCACACCCCTGGTGGACTTTTGTTTTCGTGTAATGCAGAATCCTGTTTCAGCACAGGTCTGGAAAAACAAGTTCCAGCAAGCACACAAAACATATCCCATCAGCATTAATAACAGAAATCCCCGTATACCATAAAGGTTTATTCACAATCTGTGGTTTCAGAAATTCTTTACATTATGATGTTACAGTTGATATGAGTCACCAGGGTTACTAAAGGATGCAGACCTTAGGCTAGCCGAATAGACAGAAAGTAGTTTGATCTTTTTTATTTTTTCCAAGGTCTCAAAAAAAAAAAAAAAAAAAAAATTATGGTAAATAACCTAAAATTTGCAACTCCGAGAATTAGAAAATAAACATACTGTTCCACATGACTGAGGGCCTCCGTTGAAGAGCGTGCATGCCATTCTCACTACTTCTGCTTCCATTTTACGTACACCAGGAAAGATATCAGGATGCAAGGGATTGCTCCAAGCAAATTCTCCATACACCTAAGGAGCAAAATAATATGGAAGCATCCATAAAATGTTGGTTTAGCAATAATTATACTTTAGTGAAACAAAACAGTAAGAAAAGTGATCAATTAAAATATAACAGATGTCATAGATACAGTTGGCTACTATGAGGAGCTAGCGTTTCATTGCAATTTGAAGTAGTAGTGTATTGTGCCATGACTGGGCCACAAGTCCAAAAAGTCTAATAGAAGGAATGTTTGTGTTTTACCCAAAGTAACCAGTCACTGCCACAAAGACTGATCGTGTCTTGACTAACATAGCTTTTATTTCCAACACTTCTAATCACCATGCCCAACAATATTTGCATCCAGGGGCAGACCGACCATTTGGAAACACGGGCACTGTCCGAGGGCCCGGGGTCAATAGGGGGCCCCATGAGATGCCCCTGGTACCTTTTTCATAGGCTTTTTTGAGTTTAGGCAAGGACACAGGGGCCCCATGATCCCCTATTGCCCGGGGGCCCCATGAGTTGTCAGTCCGCCCCTGTTTGCATCTACAAAGTCAGTAAACACTGGCAACATACTTAAGCTGAAAATGCCTTAAAGTCAATTTACATGGTTTTTTTTTATGTTGTGTGTCAACTTTTTTTGTTTTTCTTTTTTAATTAGAACACACTGGCATTACTGAATAAGGCATACTTGTCCACATAAGTTATTTCATATCTTTCATACACAGCCTTCTAAGAGACTTCCCAAACCCCTTCTGGCCTGAACTCAGCAAAGATGAAGCAATCTGCCATCATTCCCTGCCTATAGGGTCCAGTGCTGGTTTCATGATCTACTTTATTATTATTTTTACTCTTGCATGCAATTACTTTTCAAATTTCCCCAAGTAGGGAAAAAAAACTCACAGAACAAGTATTCACAACAAACAGCAAAGGAATAACCTTGGAATAAAAAAAGATTCTGCTCACCTTTACAAGCAGCTGAGTCAGCCGCTCATCTCCACTATAAACAGTCCCAGAAACCTTCCCTTTTTCCCAGGATACCTCACCTAAAACAGAACAATGTGTTTACTATTACTGGGAAAAGCACCTCCTCCAGGAATCTTAGTGCTGTAAAAAGCATAGCAAATATAAAGTGAATCAGTGGATATAACAGCTCAAAATGATTTAAAAAAAATCATAAATTATACAAAAATAGATGAAACCAGTTTTAAATGCGAAGTTTAGGTTTTTTTTGTTTTTGTTCTTTACTTGACTCATGCCTACAGTATCCCTTCTGATGTAAAATTGAAAGTGAGGGACATGAGAAAAAAAAAAAAAAAGCAAAAAAAAAAAAAAAACCCAAAAAACATTTACACTCACCTAGATGGCATCAATCCGATGCTGCAGCTGTTCCCCACCAGCTATACATAAAGATTGCTGAAGTTCTAAAGTTTGCTGTGAGCACAGATTGGGAAGTGTCAATGACCGATTCTCAGTCCTGCGCCTCCAGTGCTCACTGGAGAACCGGGCTGTGGAATGGGTGGGAGCTGCTGGCACAGGCTCTCAACGGTGTGGCTTGTGACGTCAACCAATAACAGACTTTAGCCCACTGTTGGCTGAATCTGGGTAACAGGCTGCAGAACTAAGTGCACTGGTGTGGCCCACAGGAAAAAAAAAAAAAAAGAGCTTTGGCCATACAGCTTGCAGAGCATCTATTTATTCATTTATCTCATAGACCGGTGCTGAGAGAGAAACAGCATTGCACACTAACTGTGAAACAGAACTAAAACTATAGTTAATATGAACCGATCAGCCAAAACTTTAGGACCGCTGACAGGTTGCGTGAACAACATTGATTATCTCATTACAATGGTAAATGTGTTGAAAGCACAAAAAAAAAAAATGGGTATCACAGTTTGTTGTGTATGGGGATGTATAGCTGCAGACTGGCAAGGGTGCCCATGCTGACCCATGTCCACAGCCAAAGGCGCCTAGTGGCAGAGTGATGTTCTGGGAAAGGTTTTGCTGGGAAACCTTGTGTCCCGCCATTCATGTAGATGTAACTTTGCACATACTACCTACCTAAACATTATTTCTGATCCAAGTACACCCCTTTATGAAAACTGTACTCTCTGGTGGCAGTGGCCTCTTTCATTAGGGTAATGCACCCTACGACATTGCTAAAATGATTCAAGAATGGTTTGAGAAACACAACGAGTTCAAGGTTGTGTTTCTACTAGGCCTACAAATTCATCAGATCTCAACCCAATTGAGCACCTGTGGGACATGCTGGAAAAACAAGTCCCATCCATGGAGGTTCCACTTCACAACTTACAGGACTGAAAAGATCTGCTACTGACGAGTTGGAGCCATATACCACAGCATACCTTCAGAGGTCTAGTGAACTAGTGAAGTTTAATCCTCAACCAGTCAGGGCTGTTTTGGTGGCAAAAGGAGGGCCTACTCAACTATTATTAGGTGGATGGTCATAAGGTTCTGGATGATCAGTGTAAATAACCTGCAAATTTGGCTGTCCCCATGTAGTATGAAGAAAAAACAAGAGACTAGACTAAAACTTCCAGTTACATTGCTGTAAGTTTCTTTTACACACACTAAAATAAGTACTGAACATGTCAACATTTTTCTCGGTAAATATATTTCTAAAAGGTGCTATTGACATGAAATTTTCATCACATGTTGGTAACAACCCATACAATCCACACAAAAAAACCAAAGCAAAAAAAGTTCAGAAATACGTTATGTCTAAGAAAATTGAATGGCACAGGGAAAAAGTATTGAACACACTGATATTTATTAAATACTTGGTACAAAATCCTTTGTTGGTAATGACAGCTTCAAGATGCCTCCTGCATGGAGAAACTAAAATCGCATGCATTGCTCAGGTGTGATTTTGGCCCATTCTTTCACAAATCTTGAAGGTTCCGTGGGCCTCTACTATGAACTCTGCTCTTTAGTCAAGTCAGGTGACTGGCTGGGACAGTCTAGCAGCTATATTTTCTTTGAAACCAATTGAAAGATTCCTTGGTTTTGTGTTTGGGATCATTGTCTTGCTGAAATGTCCACCCTCGTTTCATCATCATCCTGGTAGATGGCAGCAGATTTTTTTTATCAAGAATGTCTTGGTACATTTGTCCATTCATCCTTCTGTCAATGATATGAAGTTTGCCAGTACCATATGCTGAAAAAACAGCCCCACACCATGATGGTCCCACCTCTAAACTTCACTGTTGATACAGTGTTTTTGGGTGATGTGCAGTGCCATTTGACCTCCAAAAACTGTGTGTATTATGGCATCCAAAAGAGTTTAATTTTGGTCTCATCTGACCAGACTATATTCTCCCAGTATTTCACAGGCTTGTCTAAATGTTGTGCAGCAAACTTTAAAAGATCTTCAACATTCTTATCTTCAGCAATGGAGTCTTGTTTGGTGAGTGTGCATACAGGCCATGGCAGTTAAGTGCATTACTAATGGTTTTCTTTGAAACAATTGTACCTGCTAATTCCAGGTCTTTCTGAAGCTCTCCACAAGTAGCTCTTGGCTCTTGAACAACTCTTCTGATACTTCTTTTCACTCCTCTGTCAGAAATCTTGCAAGGAGCACCTGGTCGTAGCCAGTTTATGATGAAATGATGTTCTTTCCATTTCTGGATTATGCCCCAACAGTTCTCACAGGAACATTCAGACGTTTAGAACACCTTCTGTAACCAATGCCATCAGTATGTTTTGCAACAATAAGGTTGCAAAGGTCTTGAGAGAACTCTTTGCTTTTACCCATCATGAGATGTTTCTTGTGTGACACCTTGGTAATGAGACACCTTTTTAAAGACCATCAATTGAGACTGAACAAGCTGATATTAATTTGCACTGACAAGAGGCAAGATTGCTGTCTAATTACTTATAGATTTCAGCTGGTGTATTGGCTTTCCATGCCTTTTTGCGCCTCCCTTTATGTGTTCAATACTTTTTCGCTGTGTCATTCCATTTTATTACACATAACTTAAATTTCTGAACTTATTTGTTTTGGTTTCTTTATATGTATGGGTTGCATGGGTTGTTACAGACATGTGGTGAAAATTGCATGTCAATAGCACCTTTAAAAATATATTTACTAAGAAAAATTGTGACATGTTCAATACGTATCTTCTCATTTTACCCACTAGATTTTCAATGCATCCACATTTGCAGTATTTAAAAAAAAAAAAAAAAAAAAAAAAAAAAAAAAACACCAGTCATTGCTACAGCAGCTTGCAAAGCTATAAATGGATTGTAGGTGCAGTTTACAGACTCCTCCAGCTCCTTGTCCATACTTCAGTACAGACTTTCAGTTACAGAGAGATGAAGCAGGGACTATGAGCACAGCAATTACCGCACTTGTACTGCACGGAGAGCTACGATATACAAGTCAGTTTACAGCAGTGGCAGATGGGACTTTTAGTTTATTGATTCACAGACATCTGTAAATTAATTACAATGACAGGTGCTGCATGGGGGTGGGCACACTGTCAGAGGGTCAGATTGGTACAATGTTACATGTTATACTCTAAATGTAACATGTAATAGGCTCTAAAAGATGGAGTCAACCTTTAACAGAGCATACCCCACCAGTGACATTCTACCACTCTGCACTGGGTCTTCCCCAATATCTTGCTCCCTAACACATGTCTCAATTCCCAGTATACATGTAAGCAGTGAGATGGTCCTTCAGTAAAGGGAGCTCAATAGTCAGTTTTTATAACAGTGTATGTGCATTAACTCCTTAGTGACTAGCTTCCACGGTATGTGCATCACAGGGGTGTTTGGTATGTTACGGTTAGAAATCCTGACACTCCTGGTACTATAGTAGTGGAACATAGAATTTTGTAAAGTCCTATTTTGCATCCATTCCAAGAAAATATATTATTCTATGAAATGGTCAGGGAGAGGGTCCTATCTGCTGGCTTCTTTTCTTCATGGTGTGCACATTCTGAGACTATACTGTAATGTCTGGCAACAGAAGAAACAGATGTACAGAGAACCACAGTGGAAATATGAAACCTAGCGATTTCAGTGCAAGTAATTAAAGGAAACAATGAATCTAGAACAGCTAAAAGTCAAGTTATGGAGAGATAGGAGAACTGCTCATGGGCAAGGTAAAATATCCCTCCATAGGGACACATCAATAAAATAATGATGGCCGCTCCACTCTCGCTCTACTCTACTAAAATAGTGTGGATTATTGTTGTCTGTTACTAGGACAGGACGTGAAAGGAAAAAACTACCCAGTGGGGACAGTAATAAAATCAGACAGAGCATTTAAACCTTCCTTGCTCTATTTAAATGAATCGTTGACATGGACTTTTAAATTCTATTTTAATTTCACTGGTCAACTATGGATTGTAAATTTTTTCAGTGTACACATATACCTTATTAAATATTACCAGGATATAGATAAATAAAAAGGTCATACTTAGAGAAGAATATTCTTTCAGCTTTTCCATGACTTGTTCCTGCTTCAGTCCACTACGAGGAAGATCCGTCACGAAGCTCACATCATCTTTCGCTTTTAACACGAGATGAGCCATTTCATTTAAAGCTTTATCCAGTTCTTTCTGGATCTGTTCAAACAAGGACATCACATTGTCACTTTCTAAAGAAGATGTTACTTTATAAAAGCACATTCTTTTTCAGATGTAAATAGTAACAGAACATTTTATATCTATTGCGGACCCTTTACTAGGAAGAACAACAATCAAACAACAATTGTGTGAATTTGCCAACAATATGTGTGATATCTGTAGTTATATTAATTTTTTTGCTCTTGGGTTTAGATGTGATTTAATATATTAGAGCTACTAGGCCTCAGATGTGGTGACTAATTTTTTTTTTTTTTATTCAGGTTTTTTTTTTTCCTTACTTGGTGCCGGTAACACATTTCCTATTCTAAGACCTCCTTACCTCTCATCTCTATAACATAGTAAGGAGATGATCTGTAGTCCACAGAAGTGAACAGATTAGGGCTGAGAACACTGTAGAAACATAGGACAGCAATAGATTTCTGGCATTTTTGCATTTAATTGACAAAAAATAAATAAATTAATTAAAGTGTTTTGCTATAGCAGTCCAATCGGAAGAAAAAAAAAAAGTTAAATTGTAAAGATTTACATACACTTTAAGTGTGGGTTTAAAAAAATTATATTTACATTCAATACAATGCGTACAATTTTAGCATTCAAGGAGTTGGGGTATTACAATAAGATGGGGCAAAATAAAGCCCCCTATATATTTGACAACTACTTCTGATTATGGATTAGTGTGTGCTTTAATGCTACTGTATGGGTATCCAACATGGCCTAAGGCAAATGGCCTCCATTATAGCTTTCAGTTTGCACTGGAAGATGATGAAAAAAGTAGACTAAAGTGGTCAGAGCCAAGTCAGAATACATTACACAGAGCTCCAATATTCATGAAATTTTTTTTCCAATGATTAGGGGATCCAACCCATGAGCTTGTTGTTTCATCATCCTAAAGTTAGGGGAGTATATTTGGTCAATGCCAATGCCTTCTGTACTGCTAAACTGCAAATAATAAGATGGTAAACAACTTTTCAGGACTGGGAACTTGCTGGGAAAGGTAAATGTATAATAGTGTGGATAGAAAGGGGTTAATTGTGTTGTTTAATTAATAAGCCCTAAAGGTTCTCCAAGACGTCTGGAAAATGCCAAGCAGCATTACATCATTATACAGAATAGAGAAGTGCAATGACCTCCAGTAAACTGTGTGACAGTCGGCTGAGAGGACAAAGCACGTGAGAAGAAAAAGATACAATGTGCCTTGCTAAATTCACAGCTACTTTGTTCTATGAAAAGATTGTGCTTGCCCATGATTGATCATGTAAACCAACAATGCAGCTTTTCCCTGGAAAGAAAGAATAGCTGCATTGTAATTCTACAAATCACACCAAAACCAGTTAACCCTTTGTTGCAGAGAGATTACACTGGCGTTTGTCAGTCAGGGTCATCTATGATCTGATGGATATTTACAGCAAACCTTTGGCATCAGATACATTCTTTCATATCATGATCATACATGCTATGTAATATGCAAGTGTAACATCTACATGTACTTATTACTTTTGAATGCGCTCGCTGTGGTCACACCAACAATGCTTTCACTTTGTATAACCAAATGGCTGCCACCATCCTTGTTGCGGCTGCTCCCATCTTGTGGCCCCAAAACAGAAATCCTTAAAGAAGAACTGTACGTTTGGCACAAGTTGTCTTTAGGAAATCCCCTCACCCCTCAGCCCATCTGAAGATACATTTTCATTAGCTGCAATCCAGTGACCTTTGCTATGCTTCTCTGCCTCCAGCAGCACAGTCTTGCTGCAGAAAGCTTCCATGCTGGATCTGAATCCTGTGCATGCAAACCAAGGCTCCATGCTCATACTCTGTAGGATTGTTGGAGGCCCCCATGATTTTGTCTTATCGTAGAAATGAATGAAGCAGCAATGCACATGATGGAGAACCTGGTGAGGATGTTTTCTGAAGTAAGGCTCTCTGCAAAGCTGAAAAAGTGAAGATTGTTGGATCAAGGATGAACACAAGTATTTCTACAGGCAGGCTGCACCCAGGACGCAAGGAGAAGCCTTAAAAAGGACAAGTTGTACCAAAGGTACAGTTACCCTTGAAAACCATCCTGTCAGGCAAAAATAAATCCAATGAGGCATTCCCTGAAATAGATGCACTCTTATATGTCCCTATGTACATATGCCAGCACTCTGGCTTCCATTAGTTTCTTCAGCATGCAACACTTCCAGGAGTGTCGGATGCCTGTGTCCCTACCGTGTTCCATTCATCAACCCCTATGTCTTTGCCGTTTCCTGTAGACATAGGGGTCAGAAGATGGAATCAAAAAAAAAAAAAAAACAAAAACCGGATAAGTGTAGTTTATTTGCAACAGTTTTCCTTTAACCAAAAAAAAACACAACAGTTTAACAACAGAATAGAATAAATAAGAATTATTTAACATTTATAAAATATAAGAGGGTCTTTAACAACCCCACTACTGGCCTTCAGGAGGAGTGGTTATTCTGGCAGGTAATTTAAAAATGGCCTGTTTATTCTGGTGCATGCATAGACACCAGAGGAAAGAGTCCAATCACACAGGGATCACAAATGTAAAAAGTAATACTGTTTACTTTGGAGAGCCTATCCCTGTCTCTCAAAAACAGTAGAAAGAGGACTTAATTAGTTCAATAAATCCTCCAGGCTGCAATTCAAGCAACAGGTTTAAAGGGGTCATTGACCACCAATATTGTGGGATTCCTCTGGAATACCCTGCCCCAACCTGTACGGTTATCTCCTCTATCATTGTTTAGGCAATCCCTGAAAACTCAACTGTTTAGGGAAGCCTATTTTGCCTCTATCTAGCCTCATTTTATTTGTTCAAACAACCCATCCTCCTCTCAAATACAGTGGATATAAAAAGTCTACACACCCCTGTGAAAATGTCAGGTTTCTGTGATGTAAAAAAAAAATGAGACAAAGATTAATCATTTCAGAACTTTTTGCACCTTTAAGGTGACCTACAAACTGTACAACTCAATTGAAAAAAAAAATGAAATCTTTTTAAGGGGAGGGAGTAAACATAAAAAACTAAAATAATGCAGTGGCGTAAGTGTGCACACCCTCTTATAACTAGGGATGTAGCTGTTAATGTACAATTAAGCAAATCACATTCAAAATCATGTTAAATAGGAGTCAGTACACACCTGCCATCATTTAAAGTGTCTCTGATTAACCACAAATAAAGTTCAGCTGTTCTAGCAGGTCTTTCCTGACATTTTCTTAGTCGAATCCTACAAAGCCATGGTGCGCAGAGAGCTTTCAAAGCATCAGAGGGATCTCATTGTTAAAAGGTATCAGTCAAAAGAAGGGTAGAAAAGAATTGCCAAGGCATTAGATATACCATGGAACACAGTGAAGATAGTCATCATCAAGTGGAGAAAATATGGCGCAACAGTGACATTACCAAGAACTGGACGTCCCTCCAAAATTGATGAAAAGACTAGACTAATCCTGGTCTGGGAGGCTGCCAAGAGGCCTACAGCAACATTAAAGGAGCTGCAGGAATATCTGCCTGGTAAGGTCTGGCTGTGTGGTACATGTGACAACAATATGTCTGGGCTATGGGGTAGAGTGGCAAGACGGAAGCCTTTTCCTACGAAGAAAAACATCCAAGCCCAGCTAAAGTTTACAAAAATACAACTGAAGTCTCCCAAAAGCATGTGGAAAAATGTGTTATGGTCTGTTGAAACCAAGGTTGAACTTTTTGGCCATAATTCCAAAAGATATGTTTTGGTGCAAAAACAACACTGCACATCACCAAAAAGAACAGCATATGCACAGTGAAGCATGGTGGTGGCAGCATCATGCTTTGGGGCGGTTTTTCTTCAGCTGGAACTGGGGCTTTAGTCAAGGTAGAGGGAATTATGAACATTTTCAAATACTAAATAATATAAGCACAAAACCTTCAGTCTTCAGCTAGAAAGCTGAACATGAAGAGGAACTTCATCTTTCAGCATAACAATGACCCAAAGCATACATCTAAATCAAAGGAATGGCTTAACCAGAAGACTATTAAAGTTTTGGAATGGCCCAGCCAGAGCCCAGACCTGAATCTAATCAAAAATCTGTGGGGTGATCTGAAGAGGGCTGTGCACAGGAGATGCCCTCGCAATCTGACAGATTTGGAGTGTTTTTGAAAGGAAGAGTGGGCAAATATTGCTAAGTCAAGATGTGCCATGCTGATAGACTCATACCCAAAAAGACTGAGTGCTGTAATAAAATCAAAATGTGCTTCATCAAAGTATTAAGTATGCACACTAATGCAACCATATTATTTTAGTTTTTTATTTTTACTTTACTTCCCTCCACCTAAAAGATTTCAGTTTGTTGTTCAACTGAGTTGTACAGTTTATAGGTCACATTAAAAGGTGGAAAACGTTCTGAAATTATTTATCTTGGTTTAATTTTTTTTACATCATAGAAACCTGACATTTTAACAGGGGTGTGCAGACTTTTTATATCCACTGTATACCTTTTTATCACTTCTGTTAAGATTGTAACCTTTCACAAATGTATTAATAACAACCCAGTTCCAAAAAAAGTTGGGGCACTGTGTAAAATTTACATAAAAATAGAATGCAATAATTTGAAAATCTCATAAACCTATATTTTATTCACAATAGAAAATAAAAAATTTATAAATTAAAGAAATGTATTATTTTAAGAAAAAAATAAGGTAATTTGGAAATTGATGGCAGCAACAAGCAACAAGAGTTGGAAGAACATTCTGCAACTAATTAGGCTAATTGGCAACAGGTCAGTAACACGGTTGGGTATAAAAAGAGCATCTTAGCAAGTGTCTCAAAAGTAAAGAAAGTTCAACAAATCTGTAAAAAGCTGAAACTAAAATTGTTGAACAATTTTGGATTAATGTTTGTCAACATAAACCTGCAGAGACTTTAAATATATCATCATCTATAGCAGGGCTTGAAAAAGCCACTCGCCCAATGCGAGGG